GTGAATCAATGCAAGCAAAAATTTTTTTTAATAAATATGCTGATGCTAGCCAGATTATGGCTGGGGATTCCCCACTATCCACCCTGCTGGATTTTAATAGAGTGATTCCTCAACTTTCGTCTCTTTCTCTCCCTTCCCCAGTAGATTCTTCTGCTTTGCAATTGGTTGCAAAAATTGCCACTGAAGTCAGTGCTTATTCCTCCTCGCTAAAGCTCTTTGTCTGATAACACTAGATTTGTCCACATGAGCCCCAAGATAGTTAGGACTATTTGAGTGTATGTGTTTATATGACCTTTAAAAGCTGGACTAAATCAGACAGCCCTATAACATTTATTGCTAGCCCATCTATGGTAAAATGTTATCCAAAGAGCATTATTTTAAGTACTCATAGAAGCACACCCCATCTGATGCTAACCGTTCCAGCTGATCAAATGTGTCAAAATCAGATGTGACAATTTTTTTTCATCTTTTCCACCTAGAAAATTAATTGGGCTGTGTGTCATCTATCACAGTCTCCACTAAGCTATGATACTTTGATCAACAGTCACATGGTTCATTAGTGGAGAGAAGTCTAGATTGACTTGCTGTCATGGTTTTTTATTTAAGGTACACATAATAAGAGGCTATTCTCCTAACAAAACTGCATTGAAGTCAGGAAAGCAGTTCAGCTTAGCCTTAGAAAATTGCTTATTAGCTCTCTCTAATTGGAATAACTCACAGCCTGAGAAGATTTATCTTTCTGGCCTACATTTCATCTTCAATGTGTGCATTTTATTATTTTATCAATCTTCATAAATTTATAATAGCCTAGTTAAAAAGAAAAGTTTTCTAAACTATACCCATTTCACTAACAACTCTTCAAAGACTTGTTCAGGTGTCACAAATGTGCTTCAGCCTTTTCTTTCTTAAAGGTAGCAAAATCTATATGAAACAGAGAAAACATTTATATTTTAATTAATTATGCCTCCTCAGTCATATTATTACATGGGGGAAAATAATAACATTTTGTCATTACTGATTTTGAAGCAGTAATGGCTGGCAGGGCGGTGCAAGCTGTGTTACTAATCTGCCTTCCCACCCAATGCCTTGCATCACTGCTGTTTACAATGAGGAAGAGGAGAAGGTGAAAGGGAGTATGAACTGGGTGTGGAAGGAAACTGATGCTAGCCAGTAAACTGAACTCCAGAAAAATGCAAGGAAAACAGCACTGAGGTAAACAGCCTGAGCTAGTATGTGGAGGGGATTCAATCACATATCAACAAATTCCTGTTCAGTTAAAGAGCAAACTTTGTACAAACAAATCAGGATGAATACTCAATAAATGCTCATCTAGAAGTGACCTTAGTCCAGGCATAGCCACTCAGTAGAGAAACTATACAATTAAAGATTTTTCATTCATTCATCTTGTTGTTCTTGGGTTTTTGGACCAAAGCTAACAATTTGACAGTTAGTACAGATTAAGGAAAAACTACTGTCGCGCTGTGGGTTAAACCACTGAGCCTAGGACTTGCCGATCAGAAGGTCGGCGGTTCGAATCCCTGCGACGGGGTGAGCTCTCATTGTTCAAAGTGCAAGTAGATAAATAGGTACCACTCCGGCGGGAAGGTAAATGGCATTTCCGTGCGCTGCTCTGGTTCGCCAGAAGCGGCTTAGTCATGCTGGCCACATGACCCGGAAGCTGTACGCCGGCTCCCTCGGCCAATAAAGCGAGATGAGCACCACAACCCCAGAGTTGGCCACGACTGGACCTAATGGTCAGGGGTCCCTTTACCTTTACCTTTACTGTCTAAAATGTATAAATTACACTGGGCAACAATTTTTTACTTTTTGAATGTTGTCTAGATTTCTACAACTGATTTAGGGTATTTTTGCACTGCTGAATCAGGAAATGGCATCCGTTTCTCTCCATCAGGTCAGGTTTACTGTAAACTGAATGGTGGGCATTGATAAAGGTAAGTACACGTAAATTGCATGTTGCTTCACCATTTTTCAAACTTCAGGGCTTGAACTTCCATTTCTTGGAACTCCTGGAATGCTCAGCGGCAGGGAGGTCTCTCTTCAGAGTCCAACAGTAGTCAGCCATCATGACTGCGTCCCAGAGACCCTGATACCTGGTCTCCATCTCTTTCATGTCCTGATGGAATCTCTCCCCCGCTCGTCACTCATTGAACCCAGGTTCTCAGGAAACCGGTCCATATGTGAAAATAGGTAGTGCATCTTGACGCTCATGTTGCAGCCCAGGTTTCTGAAAGCAGTCAGCATGTTGTTGACAAGTTCTGCGTAGTTTCTGGCCTTATTGTTGCCAAGAAAGTTCTTCACTACCAGAACAAATGCCTTCCACGCTTCCAGTTCCACTTCGTTCATTGACTTTCCGAACTCTGGATCTCTGATGAGCTGACGGATCTGAGGACCGTCAAAGATGCCAGCTTTCAACTTCTCCATGGTCAATCCTGGAAAAGCCTGGCATAAGTAAGTGAAGCAGTCACCATCCTTGTCCAGAGCCTTGGTGAACTGCTTGATTAAGCCGAGCTTGATGTGCAGCGGTGGGAAGAGTATTCTGTCTCTGTCCACCAGAGGGTCGTTGATGACGTTCCTTTTTTTGCAAGGCACCAATTCCTCCCGCACAGGCCAGTCCTTCTTCGTGTAATGCTGAGCACGGTCCCTACTATCCCACATGCACAGAAAACATGGGTACTTGGTGAAGCCAGACTGTTGTCCCAACAAAAAGTTCACCATCTTCAGGTCAACACAAATAAACCACTTATGCTGATCATAACCAATTTTCTCCAGCACATACTTCACCGCTTCATAGTTCTCCTTCAGTGTACTCGAGTGAGCCAGGGGTATGGAGGCAAACTGGTTGCCGTTGTGTAGCAGAACACATTTCAGTGATCGCTTGCTGCTGTCAATGAACAGTCTCCAATCTTTGGGTTTGTACTGTGGCACTCCAAGCTTGAGCAGAAGCTGTGCAATATCTGCACAGTACACCAAGTCCTTCTCTTCCGAGAAAAAACGGAGGTACTCTTGATGCCTGTTGCGGAAGAAGCTGATGCGAGCACTGTCAGAGAGGAGGTTTTTTCCTTCAATCTGGATGCCAACAGTTCGGCAGAGTCCTTTGACAAGCTGAGGTCGCAAACTAGATCATTCAACTCCTTTTGGGAAAATGGATGTGGGGCATCATCTTCAAGAACCACTTCTTCTTCTTCATGTCCTTCAACACTGGAGGCATCTTCGTCACTAATGTCAGGAAGTTCTCTGAAGATAGGCACTGGAATTTCATCACAATGAGCTACAGGACGACGTGCTGATTGAAGATCAGGATACTTGAGGCTGCTCCAGTTCTTTCTGTTGATCCCAGCCGCACCAATTTATGGAAGATTTCGAGGTTTTATGACTTCAAACTGATCCCTTTTCGACATAATCACCCAGAACTATCGGACCTGAATACTTCTTGTCATTAAAATAATCATTTCCAATCAAAACAATTATTCGACATGGCATTTTACCCCCACCAACTTCTTCTAAAATGCTCCACACAAGCGTACATGTGAACAAAAACGTAAAAAAATGACATGTGGCCATAGCTCAAAAACTTGACCTGATTGAGCAAAACCAATGTGATTTTTGGATTCAGCGCATCAGATTCGTCCTAAATCAACTGAAAAAACGCAGACAACAAATTTGTTGTTGACCAGTGTTATTATTGGAATGTGAAACAAAGGACAAGCTGGTTAAAGCTTCAATGAACCACTGGGCAATGGACATAGGGCATAATATAGAACTATACCTATAATGAGTATGGGGTTGCTCGTGCGTAAGTTGCCGCCTCTCCTGGCTATGTTGCCTTGTTAAACCTTTCTGTCTGGACAGCCCTTCAATTTGTGGCTGCCTCAGTCGCTAGCAGAATCCGTCAGTGGGCGTTTCTTAAACCTCTTCCAACATAAAAGTTGTTTGACGCCCAGTCTCCTCCTACTCTCCCTGCGTGGAAGTCTTCTGCGCAGGGAGGGCGTGGGTAGCGGAGGACCCGTGCTCTCCCCGCTGGTGTCCGGTGAAGAATCCTGGAGCCCTCTCGCCGATTCCCCCATCTGCCCCCCTTTATCCCTGGTGTAATGTTGATTTGCTTCCCCCTCTGCTGAACTGCATCTCTCCCTGCTTGGCCCTTCTCCAGCATCATTTGAGAGCCTTCCCTCCGCCTCAGGCTCCGATGTCAGTTCCCTGTGTGTATTGTGTATGTGTATTATTGGACCAGTGTTATTATCTGGTGCAAAAAAACAAAAACCCTCAAAACATTGAAGTCTCTCTGGGAGAATGAGATGCTAAGATGACCAGTGATGGTAGGTAATTTGCAAAAGGGAAGACATACGCGGGGGGGGGGGGGTTGATAGCCAGGGTGACATAGCGAATCCAGAGCTTGCTACATCATTAACAGCTAGCTGTTCTTGTTGTATTTTTATTGTTATGATGTACACTGCTTAGAACACATTGTTATATTTAGTACAAATTTAATAAATAAATAGCTTTTATACTTTTACAGGTAAAGTATATATATAAATTTTTTTGGGAAATACTAGGGAAAACCCCCAAGTTAAGGTGGAATACCCTTGGCTTAATGTAACTGCACTTCATTCTTCCCATCCAAATGGTTTAGAAGGACCATAGCTCAATGGGCTTAATGGTAGAGCATCTGCCTTGCATGAAGAAGGTCCAAACTTCAACCTCTGGTGCTGCTAGGTAAGGCTGGGAAAAGTTCCTGCATGACACCTTGGACAGCTGCTGACAGTCATAGAATCATAGCATTGGAAGGGACTCTGAGGATCATCTAGTCCAGTGCTTCCCAAACTTGAGTCTCCAGCTGTAGTTTTGGACTACAACTTCCATCATCCCTGACCATTGGTCCTGCTAGCTAGGGATGATGGGAGTTGTAGTTCACAAACAGCTGGAGACCCATGTTTGAGAAACCCTGATCTAGTCCAACCCCCTGCAATGTAGGAATATGCAGCTGTTCCTTATGGGGACTGAACCTGCAGCCTTGGCGTTATCAGCACCATGCTTCAACCAGCTGAGCTATGCAGAGTAGGCAAAACTGAAGTAGATGGACCAATAAGAGCATAAGAAAAGGCTGCTGGATTAGGCCAAAGGCCTATCTAAACCAGCACTCTGTTCTCACAGTGGCCAAGTAGATTCCCATGGAAGGTCTCGTTGGGTTCAGTGGTGCTTACTTCTAGGTAAGTGGGTACAGGACTTCAGGTTTAAATGGACCCTTCCATCTGGTCTAGCTGTGGTGTTATTATGTTTTTGTATTATGTGGAATACCTAGTTTAGTCTAGTTTAGTTTTTTTACTTTGAGCTCACATTCCCATTTCTAAATCTCGAATGACAATTTGATATCCAAGAAGCATAAGGACATGAAATGAGCTCTGGTGCATCAGAACAAAGGTCCAACATGTCACCATGACCGACAAGGTGTCTGTAGGAATTCATAGGCAGGACCTGAGTGTTCCAGTCCTCTCCCTTCCCATGATCCCTAGCAAATGGTATTCAGAGACAAACTCTCCATATACAGTTTTGAGACATGCTTCACCATCATTAAGTGTAGCACAGTGATTCCTCATAATGAATATATTTCCAGATCTGAGTAGGACTGTCAATGCCTCATTAAATAATAAAAATTATTTCTCTTCTAGTTCCAAATCTATATTAATTTGAATCTTCATCTTATGTAGCTGTATTGCCTTCATTATTCTTCTTAGAAAGGAGAAATGGGAGCTGCAGTGGAATCTGTTTCACTCAGATTTGGTCACATGCATAATCCCCTGAGCTTGGTAGGGATAAAGAAGTTGGGTAGGGGGAGAAGTTCACCTCCTTAAATTTTTCTTCCTTTAACTTTGGATTGCAGCTATGCTTAGCCTTGAGAGCTTGTCTTTTGGCATTATGACTAATAGCCTTATATGGTATACTGCAATTGGCTGGTATTTTACACATTTTTGGCAAGGTTAGCTGTTTTACCTAAGCAAAGATTAGATCATTTATACATACATCAGATCATTCTGAAATGTTGGAAATATAGACCAGTTAGAGGGTTGACAGATGACATTCTTTAACCTCCCCTTGAGTGAAGTAAAAATACGTGTAGTCCACCAGTTTCCATGGTGCTCTTCCAGCTTAGGTACTACAGGTAAATGAGGGTCAAGCAGTTAAATTGGTAAACTTACCTTGAGAGCAGCTAAAGCCACAAGTTTCATTATACTAAACAGAAGGTTTGCTAGTCCCAATGTCATTCTCAAGTAACAACAAACATGCTATTCAACTGAGTTCCATATCTTCTCATTCTATTGCCAGAAGAAACACACACACTCTCTAAAACTCCAGTAGGAGCTCTCCCTCCCTCCCTCCCTCCCTCCCTCCCTCCCTCCCTCCCACACGCACAGTGCAGTCTCACACATTTCTACTTAGAAGTGGACATGGGATGCAGGTGGCGTTGTGGTCTAAACCACTGAGCCTCTTGGGCTTGCCAATCAGAAAGTCGACTGTTAGAATCCCCGTGAAGGGGTGAGCTCCTGTTGCTCTGTCCCAGCTCCTGCCAACCTAGCAGTTCGAAAGCATGCCAGTGCAAGTCAATAAATAGGTACCACTGTGGTGGGAAGGTAAATGGCATTTCTGTGCGCTCTGACACTCATCACGGTGTTCCATTGCATCAGTAGCAATTTAGTCATGCTGGCCACATGACCCGGAAAGTTGTCTGCGGACAAACACCGGTTCCCTTGGCCTGAAAGTGAGATGAGTGCCACAACCCCATAGTCGCCTTTGAGTGGACTTAACCATCCAGGGGTCCTTTACCTTTACCTTTTTTTACCTTAGAAGTAAATTTCATTGACCTCAGTGTGCAGCTCCTTCCTTAAATAAAGCTCATACTCTTTCAATTATTTCAACTCATCTTAACATACACTTAAATGTGTGAGTTGAACACTGAATCATTAAGAACACAGGAAGAACCTGATGGGTCAGTTCAAATGACTCATTGAGTTCAGCATCATGTTCTCACACTGGCCAAATAAATGACTACAGGAAGCCTGCAAACACGGCCTGAGTTTAACAGCCCTCTCCTCATCTTGTGATTCCCAGCAACAGGCATTCAGACTGTCTCTGACAGTGGAGGCAGAGCATAGTCATCCCTGCTAGTAGTCCCTGATAACTTTATTTTCCATGAATTTGTCTAAACCTTTTTTAAAGCCAGCCAAATGTGGACAATGCATATTGTACACTGTAATATCTAAGCCAGCCCAGCTGTCCTTTCTCACTGAAGGCCTGAGGTTGTGGTGTTGGGTTCCAAAGCATGAACTATTCATCTGAAATGGAAACTTCTTCTGCACCCTGGACAAAGATGACATTTTGGGTGGAACAAGTTGCCACATACACATTTGTGGATCAAACGTTGCTGGAAGTCAGTAATCACTGGGTGCCGCTTTTTGGATTGTACACTGACCTCAGAATTATTTCCTCTCTGGGTGAGTCACAAAATGTCATAGCTGAGGTAAGTTTCCTGACCGAGCTGAATACATCATGGAGTGCCCTCTGAATTATCTGTACTTAACTTACCAGCTACTGCGCATGAGGTTGCCTCCAATCTTTTTATTTTCCTTCCAAATTGATAGTCCATCGTTTCCAAAGACATGAACATAAGGGTGGGGTTCCATGCATTCAAATGCATTCAAATGTAGAAAGGAGAGCAAGATCTTCAAATCACTGGGTGACAGATGGTGGATATTTGTCCTTACAACCTTGTAGTAGAAGACTCTTAGCGTCCATAAGGTCTCACAGACTCACTTGTTCATCTGTTAGTCCCCATACCGCCAGAATATAATTTAAGAGTGTGGGAACACCAGTTTATATGAACATAATTTGTATAATGTAATTTGAAAGGGATATACTGCAATAAACTGAAGTGTCCAAACCTTATGAAAAGATTATCCTTAGAATCAAGTTATAATGGGTAGTGTGTTTTTTATCTCAGAAACATTCCACCTTGGACTAGATGACCTCAGGGTACTTTCCAGCTCTGCAATTCTAGGATGGAAAGGCAAGTTAGAAATAGACCTAAGGTGAGTCTAGAAATAGAACCAAAATAGGCTTTTCTGTGCATTAGCAGATGCTCACTTGAAGTCCACAGTCCTTAAATATAATGGCAGCATCAATAAGAACAGAAGAGTCCTGTGGCACCTTAAAGACTAACACATTTATTATAGTATGAGCATTGATTGATTGCCGTCCCCTTCACCAGATGCATGAATCATTATCCTGAGTTACCAGTATATACTGTACTGGTGAGCTTATTGACACTTGCAGTGTGTGGATAGAGATAGAAAGATAGATAGATAGATGATAGATAGATAGATAGATAGATGATAGATAGATGATAGATAGATAGATAGATAGATAGATAGATAGATAGAGTGGTACCTCGGGTTAAGAACTTAATTCACTCCAGAGGTCTGTTCTTAACCTGAAACTGTTCTTAACCTGAAGCACCACTTTAGCTAATGGGGCCTCCCGCTGCACCGCTGCTTTGCGATTTCTGTTCTCATCCTGAAGCAAAGTTCTTAACCCGAGGTACTATTTCTGGGTTAGCGGAGTCTGTAACCTGAAGCGTCTGTAACCTGAGGTACCACTGTAGATGATAGATGATAGATGATAGATAGATAGATGATAGATAGATAGATAGATAGATAGATGATAGATAGATAGATAGATGATAGTAGATAGATAGATAGATAGATAGATAGATAGATAGATAGATAGATAGATGATAGATAGATGATAGATAGATAATTCAAATAACAGGAGATAGGACTGAATATACTGATGAATTCTAATTCAGCTGTTTCACGTGGCAGTTTCAATAAGTGTCAATAAATGCCACCCTCAAAGCAAAAGGGAAGAGATGGGATATTTTATATCTGTCTGCAGTGGCTCTTTATAGTATATTTTCAGCTTAGTTGTTGCCCTACCACTACTAAAACTTTATCCTGGAGAGACTGAGACAGAGAGAAAGATTGCAGAGATAAAGCAATAATATAACATGCCTATTTTTTCCATATTCCTGTATCTTGTAGCATGAGTTTGAACACTGACTGCAGATTTAGTCTCTTTTGTGCCAAAACAGCATGTTTGAAATCCTCTGGAGAAGCCCCAGGCGCCCGACTGCTGCATGATTGATCAAATTAGCCTTCTGATAAATAGCAAAGGGGAGGCCTGCCAATAGCTTTAGACATTCCATTGCCCACAAAATATGCTGCTACAGCTCTGCACATCTTTATTTATGCTCTCGTAGCAATGGATGCAAGCCAAAATAGATAAGCAATGGGTAGAAAGAATATTTTTTCGGCTGTGTGGATCCAAATCAAAGTTCACCTTATGCACATATACAAAATACAGTGGTATCTTGGTAGTCAAATGGCTTAGTTGTCAAACAAATTGGCTCCCGGACATTTCAAACCCAGAACTGAGTGTTCTGATTTGCAAACGTTTTTTGGAAGCCGAACATCCGATGTGGCTTCCGATTGAGTACAGGAAGCTCCTGCAGCCAATCAGAAGCCTCGCCTTGGTTTTTGAAGCGTTCCAGGAGCCGAACAAACTCCCAGAATGGATTAAATTCGAGAACCAAGGTACCACTGTACTACAAAATGGTCATCATTGCCTGATGAACAGAAAGTCTCTCTCTCCTCACAGTTCTTCCTCTGGAGCAGCTCTCTTATGAAGGCTCCCAAGTCTCTGTGCAGTTTTTTTGCAACACCAGCCCATAATGCTTAGAGGAGGGTCCATAAGGCAGTGATAGAGCACATTCCTTGCATGTAGAAAATCCCTGTTTCATTTATTGGCACCTCCAGTCCAGCTTGAAAAGACCCCTGTCTGAACCCTAGAAAATCACTGTAAGTCAGTGTATGCAATATGAGCCAGATGAACCATTGTTCTGGGTATAATGCTTTCCCATCAGTGTTTTATGGGAAAGATGATATATTGTTTCTAACAGAGAAGAAGTTACAAGATATAATAATGCAAGAAGGTGGGGAAAG